CCCCCCAAATTCAAGCCACATCCTCTTCTCCCTGTTATGAGTTGTGATTTCTGTTTATGGCTTTAAAAGACCATGTTGGGGTGTAAGCCATTTGATATAGATTTCCTTTGCAACACTCTTCTTGCATGCAAGAAGCAGACATCCAATACCCAGCAAACACTTTTGCAAATGTGTCATCCCTGGCACTAGGACAGGGACTGTGATTAAGGGTTGAGAGGAAGCTGTGGGCCTGACTTAGCCCCCCCACACCTGAGCCCTGGAGGCTTCCCCCACCCTGGAAACACTCTGAGCTTACTCTGCCTGGCCCTGAGTCCCCAGACCCTCCTGTTCTGGGGGTTGTGGCTGTTCAGCTGGACACTGGGAACGCTACAAGTCAAAAATAAGACAAGCTCTTCTGCCTCACATGTGCATGTTCTCCGGGATGATGAATCAGGAGGAAGTGGGCAGGTCAAATCCCAGGTAGACACCCATGCTCCTCATGGAACTTTTTTTTCCTCTTGAACTAGATGGACTGCTTAGATGTGGAGCTTCTCTCGTGGTCCTGCGAGGAGCAGTTACTTAGGTATTTTTGGGACTTTTTTCCCCGCAGAAGCTGTTTCATAGGTAGCTGCACTTTCAGTGTGTTCGTGGGAGCGAGTGATACTGGGTCTGCTTAGGTCGCCATCTTGAAGCTCCTGTTGCTATTTCTTTTAACAGTGTTTTGTAATTTTCTTTGTTTAGATCCTTCACCTATTTTGTTGGCTTTATTCCCAGCTATTTGATTTTTTTTTCTTGTTGTTTCAGTTATAAAAGAGATGCTTTTATTGAAATGGTTGGTTGATTTGATTTCTTTTCTGTGGCATTTTTTAGAGTTTTCTATGTATATTACCGTATCGTCTGCAAATAGCAATAGTTTCACTTCTTCATTCCCTGTTTAGATTCCTTGTATGTCTATCTCTTGGCTTTCTGCTCTGATTAGGACTTCCAGTATTATGTTGAAGATCAGTGCTGAGAGTGGACGTCCATGTCTTATCCCTGCTCTTCATGGTCTCAGTTTCACTCTTCAGTTCATTGGTTGTTTCTTAACCATTTTTTCCTTTTCGTATTCTGTATGTTTTTTAATCATGATGATTTAAAATTCTCTCTCTGGCAGGCAGAGTTCTTCCATGTCACTGTTGCTGAGTTCTGGTGGCTGGTTTTCTCTTTGTGGTGTATCCTTCTCCTGAGGGCTTGCTTGTTATAC